AGAGAGAGAGAGAGAGTTCCTTCCAATTGCCAAAACTTTCTTTTCTTGACCTTGGATCGACAAGTGGGCTTCACTTTGGCATAAGATTGGTCCATCAATAGTGAATCAGATTCATGCAAGTGTGAGGCTTAGTTGCATTATGGGAAAATAAATGTCAGCCGTAGATTTGGCCAATAGGGTTTCTTCACCTATTACCATCTCCACGTACACTTGCACCCAAACTAAACTCAAATTATGGTCATCATCGCGGATGATTACTCCATATAAGTATATGGCAAGTGGGGCTAATGCTGATATGATAGATTCAGCCGTCCCAATAATTCCTGTGTCATTATCTTTTCATTATTTACGGATTTAATGTTCCGAAAGCAATGTATCTTTTGGTAAAAGTGATTAGATCCTGCCACCTCTTTCTTTATATACGGCCCTTTCCCTGCTCCCGACGCTCCCACCCTCCCAGCCATGTTTAGATTTCGACGGCAGAAGACATCCACGTCCGATGCATTGTCCGTAAGTGTCTTAATTCATGCTTACTCGGTCTTTTGGCTGCTTCCTGCATCTACGTACTCTTGTATCCATCGCATGTCACAAGATCGTGGAGCTGATGGTTCACATGGACTGCGAAGGATGCGAACGGAGAGTACGAAAAGCCATCTCCAAGCTAAACGGTAGGATGTAGCAGACTTCGTTTGCACGTCTCTGTGGTCATCAATGGAGAAATGCCGCTAAGTGGAAGCCTGACTGACGCAGGGGTGGACACAGTGGAGATCGACATGGACAAGCAGAAGGTGACGGTCACGGGCTACGTGGAGGAGAGGAAGGTGATCAAGGCGGTGCGGCGCACGGGGAGGAAGGCCGAGCTGTGGCCGTTCCCTTACGACGCCGAGTACTACCCGTTCGCGCTTCAGTATCTGGAGGACTCCACCTTCTCCTCCACCCACAATTACTACCGCCATGGATACACCTCGACGGTGCATGGATACTTCCCTGACCCCGCCTACTCCATGATCGTCGATGATCATGCTTTTGCGCTTTTCAACGATGACAACGTTCATGCATGTGTGATCATGTAAACATCGCATGTATTTGACATAGTCATTGGGCTTTGATCAGTCGTAAATCAACCACTAAAATAATAACAGCGATTTTGATAACTCAGACGCATGTTTATTTATTGCACTTTCCATTTCAGATCAAACATCATAGTCACATCATTCCCGATGCCTTTTGCATTCCCAATCTGCATGTGGGTTGTAGGAATGTTCGATTCCTCAATCAACAGAGCATCATCAAGTTCTGCTTATGACAACAATTCACTCTGTATGTTGCTGCAGGATGCAGTGGGCAGCAATGGTGACAAAACCTGCATCACTGATCACAGATCTATAGTCTCTTTCTCTTTTCCTTGTTGTAAAATTGTGCATGATATTTTTTTTTCGTGTCATCATGTTGTTCATCATAACCATTTTATAGGATAAGTGTAAGATAAGAGCACATTGGCAATCTGAGCTTTGTTGCAAGTTGGGATCATATCCTGTTGCTTCAAAAGCAAATGGTTCTCTTCTGCAACTAGCGGCCTCGGTTTTATCTGCCATAAATCAAGTGTGATATGGCACTGAGACATGGAAGGAGATACTTTGTGCCATGAAGAGTTGGGGGAGGTGTACCCATAAGAATGGTGGAGGAGAATGAAACACCAAGCTGCATGCATGCTGGATAAAAGAATATAAGTTGCTCCGCTGTGGTCCATTGTTTTGAGAATCTCATGCCCTTCAAGGACACTGACAGATATCAAGTCGCAGGTGAAGAGAGAAAGTAGAAGGATTACATAAACAAGAGGCAGTGAAGAAAAGATAAATGTGCAGAGTTAATGTTCTGAGGATGCTTCGACTGATGTGTTCTGAAACAGAAAGAAGGAATTTATAGAAACAGAGAGACAGAGAGAGAATGATGGAAGGCAACACAAAGGAAGCATATATTTGATGCCTCAGAGAATCGTACATGAGGATTTGATGGGATATATCAGAGCGACCCATTGGATCAATGGTGCCATTTGCAGTAATACAATTGGAATATAATGTCCACTATATCTCGTTGCACAAAGTGGGCTTACAATTGAGCTCAGAACTCAGCACCTTGCCCTTTTCAAGATTCTCTCTGATCACCTCACAAATGGGAGCAAAGTATAATCACCTTTGGTTCTTCTGAGGAATCCTTAACCTGGATTTAGAATGGGCCATGGCACAGGTGTTCTTGCCTGCAACAAATGATTTCACATGGTTGATGTGCTTGAAACATTTGTTGATTGAAGGATCTCTCTCCATGTCTCTTCCCTTTGCATCAGTTCATTTAACATGCGATTGCCAAGTCAGAAACATCTGTATTCCCAATTCTTTCTCCAGTTGATGAAGTGGGTTAATGGTGTTGGCAGTGTCATGACACTGTTTCATTCTCACCTAACAATTAAGCCATCGACATCTATCATTGGTAAGAATATTAAGAGCAAACAATGATGGCATCATGAGCTGCAGCAATTTCCATTACCCACATTACAATTGCACATCTTCTCGGTAGAGATTTCAAGAACAGAGCTCCAACCGGAGTAACATTTACGGGCATTGCTTCCATTCAAAATATGGGGCTCTGTTTGAAGCAAGTGATGTCAAACGCAGCAGTGAAGTTAGAGATAACAACTGGATCTGTAGGTGATTGCTTTATCCAGATTGGAAATGAAGAAGTAGCACTAATCTTTTCTCAAAGACAGTTATCCAATTGTGGATGGTAGATTACAACAAGATCCAAAGCCGGTGTCTGTCTTGATGTCGGATGAGCTTCATTATCCATATGTGCTAACTTCATAGGGATGTGAGACACATTGTGTTGACATGATGCTGATGAGATATGGATGTGGTTTCATAAGTGAGACTCATGCGGGGTCGATCCGTTGGACTTTTGATGGAGCAGCCACATGCTCTGTATGATCTTCTTCTTGTGGTTCTGTAAGCGATAGTTCATTCTCTTCTGCATTCTCTTCCATCAACTCAACATGGATCATTGACACATTAATGCCGCGGAGCTTTTCCTGTGTTCACGTTGTTCATCTGCTGTAACCGGAATGACACTGCCAGCATTATGAATTAAAGGTTGCTAGTTCTTGCAAGGAGAGCCTTATCGACATCATCTCATCCTGATCTGCCTAACATGTACGCGTTCCATCAATGGAACTTGAATCCTATTCCTGATTCCACTTCATCTCTCTTTAGCAATATAAGAGAGCTCAGCAATAGTGGCCTTATTGCACCACTGAATCTGAACTCCACCAACAGGGCTTTCTTACTCTACAAAGAAGACAGTCGCAGCGAGTAACCCATTTGGCACAGAGATGAAATCCACGAAAGCTTGTGCTCCCTACCTTGGCATTGTTGTGGTCCAATTAGCATATGCAGGATCCAACATCCTCTGCAAGCTTGCATTAGAGCAGGGACTAAGCTTCCTCGTCTTCGTCGTGTACCGGCATCTCATCGCTTTGCTCATCTTGGCTCCTCTCGCTTATGTTCTCGAGAGGTTCAAACACCAGCCTGCAGTAGTTTCTGATGTCCTCAATGTGGCTTCTTGTATCTTCTGAATCACTTGCTTGTTGCAGGAACCGGAGGCCCTCCCTCTCATTTCCTCTGCTCGTGAAGGTCTTCATTCTGGCAATGTTTGGGATAACTATTCACCAAAATGTGTACTACCTCGGACTGGATTACACTTCTCCTACCGTCGCCAGTGCCTTGAGCAATGTCATCCCAGCTCTCACCTTCATATTGACAGCTATCCTGAGGTTAGTACAGAGACTGCTTTGAAGCCCCTTGGAACTCCGATTCTGCAATGAGCTGCAAGTTGACTGGAAGGGTGCTGCGGTGTCTCTTCAGGATGGAGAAGGCCAGCTTGAGGAGTCCCAAGGGGAGGGCAAGGATCGTGGGTACCATCTTTTGCATCAGTGGTGCCCTAGTTTTCACATTCTGGAAAGGCTTTCTGTTGGAAGGCTTTGTCAAGAGACCTTTGATTGAGATGCATGCCGAAGGTGATGTGCATCACAAAGAAGACTGGCTTAAAGGCTCTGTTCTTATCCTAACCAGCTACATCGCATACACTGCATGGCTTATTCTTCAGGTCACGGACCTCTCTCTCTCTCTCTCGCTCGCTTTAGGACATAGCAGCATAGAAACACATCTTGAATTATCTGAAAGGTAGAGGATAATGCAGACATTATAAAGTCATTTCATGTGTTCTTGATGAGAGTGAAGGTGCATCAGACTGAAACCAGTGAGCATATATCTCAGGCGATCATCTGTGAGGTCTATCCAGCCAGACTATCATTGAACACCATGATCTGCTTCTTTGCATCACTGCAATCTTCTGCAGTTGCACTCGTCTTCGAAAGGAATGCTGCATCATGGAGACTGAATTGGAACCTACAGCTCCTCACCATCATCTATTGCGTATGTTCTCCCGTCTGCCCTGCCCAAAGAGTAGTATCATTCAGCAATTTACTTCCATCAAACTCTGTGCAGGGAACTGTGATCTCTTGCCTCACATACTACTTGCTGACGTATTGTATTGGTGAGAAGGGACCGGTCTTTGCCGCCACATTCATCCCACTGCAGCTGGTGATCGTAGGATTCCTCTCGGCCTTCATTTTCGCCGAACGACTTCATATTGGCAGGTGAAGGATCGGCACAAAAGAGTATTAACAATGCTTGATATCATTTAGATTTAGTGATCCAACACTAACTCCTCTGTTATCATTTTTCTTTCTTTCCTCATAGCTTGATCGGGGTATTCATCATAATTGTGGGACTCTATTGCGTTCTCTGGGGAAAAAGCAGATACTCCAATGAGTAGGACGAGAAGAGTTCTATGAAAGCATGTCAACCCTAATCAGAAGTCAGAAATAAAAAAGACAAGAAAAGAAAAGAAAAGAAAATTCATGACTTTTCTACTTATTTCATGAGTTCATGCCAATGGAGTTGAGTGGTTCCAATCCATAATTCAGTAACAGAGAACAAATGGAGCTCGCCAAGATTGACTGAGCAAACGAGGCTCAGCAATAACTACGACCTTACACATTGTTATTGAAACATGCACACTGCTCGGTGCTCTCTGAAGAAAGATAAAAGCCGTGCTAGTGTTTGGCGTCCATGGCGCGCTTGGTGTTCTCTGCGCCGTCCTTGATGCTCTGCTTCGACTCTTGAGCCTTTCCTACGACTGTGTCCTTTATCTTCTGCATGGTTTCTTTGGCCGACCCCCACGCACTCTGCGAGACTCCCTTTGCTCTTCCTCCCTGAACTGAGTCGATCACATTACCAGCTGCCTCGATTGTTTTGTCCACCACCTGTTAAGAGGAGGAAGAAGCTGAGTCTGTGTACGTTCCAAGATTGCCATTCCGGAGAAGTATATGGTGAGACCATTTAAAACCTGATCAGCAGCCGCATTAATTTTCTCCCTGACGTTCTCGGCTGTCTTCTTGATCTCTGCACTCGCGTCCTTGATGTTCTTGTGAGTCTCTTTAGCATCCCTTTCCGCACTCCCCTGATCGACAACAAGCAGCGGCAATACATCAAACCGTGCAGATATCACAAACTGATGATATCAGTGTCGAAACCATTATAACCTGCAAACCCCTCGTCGCGGCAAATGCAAGGAATCTTGGGCTCCGGGAGTTGCATCTGGCCATGGATGCTGCAAGGTGGAAGGACTTGGACATGCTTCCAGTGAGAGAAATGATGCTCATACTTCCCTTGCTCGTCTTGGCTGCTTTAGTACTACTGTCGAAAACAATAGAGAAGAAAGGTAGACAACCGAGTGGGTATGGTTGATGAAACCGCACTATTTTATAGTTGGGGGGGGAGGAGGAAGAAGAGGAAGAACGTGAGCGAAGCATGGGGGCGTGTTGACGGTTTCCTTGCAGTTTGACCCGGCAACTGCGGTGCAGAGCGGTCAACTGATCCTTGCGTTCGTCCTAATCTTTGGGTAATCACTGGCTGCATGCCTTTAATTTTATCGAATTAAGAATTTATGGAAAATATTTTTTTTTCCATAAATTATTTTGTGTATTTATGAGGTCTTTCAAAATTAAATCATTTTTTTCTTTCAAAATTAGAGTAAAATATTTTATTTTAATTTGTTTTCCAGCACAATTAAAATAAGAGCCAACTTATTTTTATTGGTTTAGTTTGATTTCATTAGTTAAAAATGGAAAATAAAAGATGCACCAGCCGGGAATCGAACCCGGGTCTGTACCGTGGCAGGGTACTATTCTACCACTAGACCACTGGTGCTCAGATGAAATTTGGTTATTTCATTTTATTATGTTTCATTTAATCTTAAGTTAGTCTGCTACCTCTTAAACCTCTGCTCCCATCAGGAGCTTAGGGAACTGGTGCTCCTCTTGTTTGCATGGGCAAGCGGTCGAGGTAGGTCTCGCTGGTGACGGGGTATCGCTTGCTCTGGAACTGGTCGACGATCAAACAAATGACGGAGATGAGCCAGAGGACGTAGGCATAGATTACGATGCGAGACAAAGGACGATAGAATGCGGCAATCAAAGACTGACAACCACAAGTAGTATACATGTTTTATGATTTTGTTGTCCCAGAAAAAACAATGACCTGACCGTGACGGATCACTACTCACACTTCGATACATCTTACACAAAGGACTACAGTCTTCACAATACATGGCTGTCTCTTTTACTGAGCATTCCAGCCGTTTGATCAATTTCTACACCCTATAATTTCATCGTTTACTGACTTAGATAGGTAACGAGTTACCTGGAAATGCTACCAGAGATCTCTTTTTGATGATTGCTAGAAGAGTCGGTGACGCCTCACAGATAACCTTCTGGATAATTTGCCATCCACACTGTTATGTTAGACTAACGCTGATATTGGCATTCATTCATGCGTCCTCATTGCTCACTCTGATGTGCTTGGATGTTGAAGGGCAACCGGTGATGGCATCTGTTCCCTTCTTATTGGAAGTCTCGAGTTCAGGCATCTTCCACTTGTTACCCACTTGCCTAGAGTCCTCTGTTCTTTGTATACTACTGGAGCTATTTCCTCCTTCTGGGAGCTCGATCTCAGCAGTAGAATGAGGAGTTGGTTCTAATGGAGTGGAAGAAGCATGCTGCTTTTCCATGGTTGACTTACGTTGCTTCTCGATCATTACTTGCAGGCGTTTCGCTTGCTCCTCAATTCTCAGTTGCATGCTTCTCTGAATCTGCAAATGAATGGAGAGAAATATGTGCAAGAATGAGACAATTAGCTGCATTAGCACTAAAGCGAGGCATTATATCACAAAACACATCAGAAAGGGTGGTTTCCGCAGGGGAGAAATAAATTATGAGACACTCTATCTTCAATTGTCTAAACAAAACCCAATTGCTTCAGGAAGCAAAGGTAAATAATTTTAGAAACCAGGATACACTATCTTCGATTGTCTCAACAAATTCATGATTGAGTTATGGAACATGCATTCGAGAAAACACTGATCCAAATTACAAACAACTCTGGAGTTCTGTTATAGTTACCAAAACAAATTCATTTAATATACTTGAAAATTCAGAAGTCAATTTACAAGTAGAGCAAAACTTAAACTACCTAAAGCATGCTTATTATTCTGACTGCGAAAACATACCTCAAGTTGTTCATGCAGGCGTTTCTGAACTTCTATCTGGAGTCTCAATGCTTCAGTGAAATCAATGCCTCTGTTAACCAAAAGGAATGCGAGATCAATTATTTAACTGAAGGATCTCACAGCCTATTTACAATGAAAACATAGGATGCGGAATTATAGTAGCTAACGAAACACGAGATCAGAAAAAGGACCTATCATCTAAATAAGTGATTAGAAAGAAAGAAAAATTAACTCAATACTAAATACTAAAATAAACCCAGGACCCAATAGAGTATCAAGCAAAGAATCACTTTTTTAAGAATAATGGACATCACATGCTTAGCTCTATTGCTGGTTAAACATCAAGATGTTGGAGATAAAATGGAGGATGCGTGCTGAATTAACAACAAAGAATTTTAGCAGACATACTCTCATAGCTTTCGTTTGATACAACCAGAAAATAGATTCTGGAAGCTGACAATTATCTACATCTTTAAAATGAACCATTCAACACCAGAAAAGCTATGTAAATCTTTGCAAGATGACAACATATAGTTATATTTAGCAAGGGTTTACTCACGTCTTCAGATTTAATGAAGGTAATTCCTCACTCTGAGTGATCCTCTTTTCTGACATTCCTGATACATCAAGAGATAACATTTTTCAAATAAAAGAAACCATACAAAGTTACCTTAGCATATAACCATAGCTAATAGATTTCAGTTAAGGAATTAACACAGCATAATAAAAAAGATACAAGTGCAATAGATTCCAGATTACAAACTAAGGAGAACATCTACCAGGAGTATTTGCATCAACAGAAAATAAAGAAATAACTTAGGACGGATGCTTCAAGAACTGTAACAATATAAATCCATCAAAATTTTGGCTCGCCACTCATAACCAACGTTGACTGACCTTCTGACGAGTCCGGTATATAACGAGCTGTTCTGTATTTCTGGAACAAAAAGAAAAAAAAACTATAAATAATGATATAAGAAAAATACCGTATAAGTGAATTAATATCCAGAAGGAGACCAAATTCTAGACCTGTAGATGACTTTTCACATGGCATATTGTCAATCCTTCCACTTTCATGATATTCAATACACCTTTAGGAGTAGCTTCTGAAGGTAGAAAAACAATGAAGAGTAAATACTGAAAAATCAGCAATCCAGCAGGAACAGAAAGAAAGAACATCCAGGATAGCCTACTTTCACCACCACCAAGCTGGTTGACGGCATCTATGAATAGTTCATGAAGCTCTGGAGTCCACCTCATGCGTGGCTTGGTTGCAGTACTAGTGGTAGCAGACATTGGACTAGTGATAGAACAAACCTCACCAGCATGACATGGAACAGATCGATGGGATTGCAGCTGGTGCATTGAGATATCAGGAGAGGATTGAGCAGCTGGGCAGACAACCTATAAAAAATCGGAAAACACATAATCCAGTTGTAATTTTCAACAATTAAATTACAGTCACACTGAGTATGGGAAAATTTAGCACCATAAAGAAGATGATTATGCACCTAAATCGTACAAATAGAAAGTGCCTTAGACTGTTAAACATCAGATAGCTCAAGAAGAAACATAACTATCTTGTATAGAAAAGAAAAGATAAAGAACAGGCAAGGATCATGCATGACTTAACCAACTACACTGGATGCAATAAACGCCAATTCTAATGGAGAATACAAGAGAGGGAAGTAACCAATATGTTTTTCTTATGTTACAAGTATCAGCAGATAATTCAAGTACCTTTGATTGAGATTCAGCAATAGTTGTGTCATTAAGAAGATCCTTCCAATCTACATTCATGATATCACTCCACCAGTCATTTTGCTTACTGAGATCATTGGAAACCACAATCAAGCTGTCGTTGATTTTACTGTTCCCGATGCCTTGAACTGTTTCTGGACACCAGGTTACTGCAGTTGGATCTTTGGGTAAATTATTATTTGGCACTTGAAATATTCCAGTATTTGAGGAATAGGTTGAAGACAAAGAAACTCCAGCATTCAGTAATTGATTAGCAAATGGAGTACCATTGGTATGCCTCTCATGGGGGAGACTTGAAGAAAAATGAAGATCTGAAGAAAGTCCAGAAGGTGATGAAAACAAGGGTCCAACGTTCCCACCATCGGAGACAAAAGGAGTATAATCGGAAGGCAAAGGATTGCTTCTTATTTCCCTATCCATCAGAACTAGTTGGGAATCTGGTATTTTAGGAAACTTCTCTCCAGAGTTGTTTGGTCTAACAGGTAGAGTTGATGACATAACTCCAGAGCTTCTAGCATCACTGAGTTGCTCCATGTTAAGCTTCCCCATTGGCAGAGCTGATCGTGTTTCCATTTCTTTCCATGTATACATTGCTAATAGACCATTCACCTATAAGAGAACGATGTTAAGAAATACATTAAATAAACGTTGGAAGGTACAACATGATGAAAACTCAAACAATGTGAAAACATCATATCAGCATAATTATGAACAGAAGAAATAACCACTTCTATCTGTGAAGTGATTATATATAAACAATATTTCACAACATCTTTACTATACAAGCCATTTAAATATCAATTTAACGAATTTCTTGATAATCTAATGGCATCAATGATCTCATGAGAAATGTCATGTTGGGCATTTTTGTTTATACACACAAACACCACTGGTTTTGTATATGATGATCTTCGTGGACTGCGAGAAGGATCCCAAGGTCAAAGTATATTAAAGTTTTGGATAGTTTTGCATCCAACAACGAAGGAGAAAACTTTCTCCAAGTTGGTGAAGAATGCACATTTAATTTCTCCTCACTATGTTAACCATTTGGATTGTATCAACAAAATTGGTACAGTTCAAGAGAACTTCAAACTGGGAGTGGGGGAAAAACAGCTGTGATCTAGACCAATCAATTGTTTTAGAACTCAAAGGGCATCAACAAGTAGATGTATCAGATTTCCAGCTCAAGATTACAGACTTATTCTGTTGCAATACACAGTATTCCTGATGCAAGGCTTCCGATATGTGGAACTATCACCGAACAGAACTATTGCAGCACAGGAAAGGGAGGGGAAGAAAAAAGCTAGCAACAGGCATAAGACCAAAGGCCCCCAACTCCATCGAGCAAAGGAGATATTTCGTTTGACATGATGGAGCATGGAAGAGTTATACAAGCTGATTCTCTAGGCCAAAACAGAGAGAGATAAAAGCACCTCTGGTTGAAGCCTAGTGAGGCTTCCAATACAGAAAATTTTCAGAAACAAGAGAAAGATACTATACCGGTAGCACAATACAAAACCAGAAAAGTGATTCCGGCATCAAAACACAATCTGTATCCTTACCTAGGGATACAATCTAACTCGAAACAACAAGTAAGATTCCTTTTTTAGGTAGCCATTCCAATATTTTCCAATCCAATCAAAGAAAAAGAAACACCAAAACCACGATGATTCCTCACTCGACAAAACCCGGAGAGGGGAAAGAAACAGTCGTGAAGAACTTCAGAGACATGCGTGCGCCGTCACAGAATCGACACTTAAAACACACCAAGATGGGAATTTTACATCCTATCGATGGACAACAGAGGAAAACATACGATAAACCGAGATCAAGGTGGAGCTCTTTTCGCACACCGAAGAGACAAAGAGGCCCTCCACGGCTCCACCTTCAATCGATTCCGATAAAGCAGAACAAGAAGGAACCAGAAAACAAAAACGGGGCTGACCCCCCGATATTCTTATCGTAAAGGCGAGCAACCCGAGAAAAGTTTGCCGGGCCACGACCAAATCACTCCAAAAGGGAAAGTCTATAAACAAAACGGGAGACGATACCGAATCAAACTCCCGCTGGGGTTGGTTCGCTGGGGGAATTCTCAGATGCCGCTGTCGATCCCACGAGGAGGGCAAGCAAGGCAAATTGCAGCGGTCGGAGGACGCGAGTAAAAGATGGTTCGACTCGTCGGAGGAGGCCGCCAACTCCGTCTCCGCTGCCAAAGAGCACGATTTATAGAGGGATTGTTCCGACAACGAGAACAAAGAAACATGTTGGTTATTTATTCATTCCAATCCCTCATAATACTTGTTTTTCTAAATACACCCTTCGTAAGTAGAAATAAAACTTGATTACAGCCCCGCAGGAGTTTTTGATTTTACAAATCAGCCCTCCCAGTTCTCAGAGAAAAATTACATATACATCCCAAACAAATTTTTTTTTTAATATTTATCCCTAACATACATATATGATATTGGAAGAAAAGCTATTATATATGCGCAACACGTGGCAGCTTATGGACGGGACTTAGCTAACAATAAACTCTTGTCAATCGAAATCATAAAGTTGAGACAATATGTGTAGATTAGATCATCTAATGCCAAAGTCCAACCCAGAGATTGGACAATCATCTTTGGTCATGTAGATCACAAAGAAAGGGACATAAACAATATCCATAACATGGTTCACAAGTGTCAAACACAACCCAGAGCTTGGTGGAATGGTGGTTTCTTGCAGGGTCTTGGTGGTTTGCATGAGGAGCAAAAACCATTGATGAGCTTGCAGGCTTGGATGTTGCAGATTCTTGAGAGTTGTTTATGCTGTGAGACACCCAACCTTTTCTTCCTTGATGATGCACCAGCCTTCACTTCTTTTTATGCTATAGACTATGAAGTGGGTTGCAAATGGATTCCTTCTGCTGCTGTTTGCTATGTTTCTTCTTCTTCTTCTTCTTCTTCTTCTTCGATTGTGTGATAGAAAAATACAGGTATGGAATGAGGACCACATTTGCCGATAGATTCCATAAATCATATATGTAGAAGACAAGAAGACTGACACATCTTCCAAGGAGGGATTAGCAGCAGAGTATTTAACATGAATTAAGATAATAATGATGAGCTGCTCTTTGGTAGATGGATGACACCATCATCACTTGGGGATTCTTCTTATTGGACCTTTTCCACAACTGCTGGTTTTTGGTGTCTCTTTTCTCTTCTTTGTCTTCCATACTCATCATCCTAATTCTGACCTCCCACACACCATCATCAGTGCAATCCTTTTCACCCTCCATTGCAGACTCTGTTGCAGGATCTTGTGCATGTATTATTAGAGTGTTCTGATGCTTTTCTTCTTCTTCTCTCTCTCTCTCTCTGTCTCTCTCTCTTAGTCAGAGATTCAAGTGTGTATTTATGGATGTGCTGAGTCAAGATCTCTTTGTGACCCAAAGGACACAACATACAGTATGGCAAAGACTTGATTGTTCTGAATGAGAAAGAAGTGCTCTGAGAGGTGCATCCACCACAAGCTCTTGATAAGGGGAAGGTTTTCTATGTGGCAATCAAATAATTGGGTGTGGAAAATATGAAAAATGTATCATAATGTTATAAAAAATGGTTATAATTTGGAATAAACTTCAGAAAATATAGAAAATCAAAGTCAAATTGAGATATCTGTCCCAGAAAGGCCCAATTAATTGGTCAAAGACAATTTTTAGGACTAAAAAGCCTCGATCGCATCCTTTCCTAATAAACCGAGTTCAAATCACATGTCTATCCCTTCATCCACTCGTCTTCTTCCTGCTGCCGTGATGATACAGACGTCGTACCATAGAGATGCAGGTTGTGGGTGGGCGGAAAAGGTTAAGCGAAGGCGGGCGGGAGAGTGTTAGGAGGAGCTCAGTTAGCAAGTAGAAGTTGCTAGTTAGTGGTTGATGATGGCTCCAAATGATCCGCAATCAAACCTTGCATGATTTCCCATAGAAATTGTGGTGTATATATACAACCGTCGAGCTAATTCTCTGCAACAATAATGGACATGAGTTGGCTGATGGATACGAAGACCTTCTTGCAAGCTTACCCTGACATCGTCTTAGCTTTCGTTTGCTTCGCCTTCTTCTTCTTCTTCTGTTACTGTTACTATGACCGAATCTGTCGTAGTAGGTCCAGAATCCCAGTGAATTGGCCAGTGGTCGGGATGCTCCCGGCGCTGCTCGTCAACCTCCACCGCCTCCACGACTGGGGAACCGACGTGCTTCGGGAGGCCGGCTGCAGCTTCTGGTTCCGCGGCCCCTGGTTCTTGGGCATGAACCATCTGTTGACGTGCGACCCCGCCAACGTGCACCATGTCTTCGGGGCCAACTTCTCCAACTACCCCAAGGGGGAGGCGTTCCTGGAGATCTTCGACATCCTCGGCGACGGCATCTTCAACTCCGACGAGCAGTCGTGGAAGGAGCAGAGGACGAAGGCCCATAGCATCATGAGCGGTCGAAGGTTCCGGACCTTCGTCGCGGATTCTGCTCGAAGCAAGGTGGAGAAGGGGCTGCTCCCTCTCATCCACCACATCGCACAGCGAGGGGTGGCGGTGGACCTGCAAGATGTCTTCTTGAGGCTGACCTTCGACACCACCTGTAACTTGGTTTTCGGCGTCGATCCGCGTTGCCTCTCGGTCGAGTTCCCTACGATCCCGTTTGCCAGGGCGATGGACGACGCCATGGCCGCTTTGCTTACCAGGCAGACGGTGCCGCCGGCTTGGTGGAAGCTGATGAGGTGGTTGAGGGTCGGCGAGGAGAAGAAGCTGGCGATGGCATGGAAAGAAGTGGACCATTTCATAGCCGAACACATAGCGGAGAAGAAGAGATCAGGTGAAGCGAATGACGATATGCTATCGGCTTATATCAACGATAATGACGACGATAACGATCGAGCTATGGATGGGAAGAGATCTACCGAGTTCGACAAGTTCCTCAGGGACACGGCCGTGAACTTTATGCTTGCGGGGAGGGACACAACCGGAGCAGCGCTCACATGGTTCTTTTGGCTGCTGTCGCAGAATCCCATGGTGGAAGCAAAGATTCTGAAGGAATTGGAGGAGGCGACGTCTCTACGAAAAGAAAGACCGAGCTCCGACGAGCTGATCGTGTTCGGCACCGACGAGCTCGGGAAGATGGTCTACTTGCACGCGGCATTGTGCGAGTCATTGAGGTTTTTTCCTCCGGTTCCTTTCGAGCACAAGAGCGTGCTGCAGAGTGAAGTCCTCCCGAGTGGCCACAGAGTCGGACAAGGGACAAAGATCTTGGTGTCGGCGTACGCCATGGGAAGGATGGAGGGAGTGTGGGGCGGTGATTGGGCGGAGGTCAGGCCAGAGAGGTGGATCTCGGAGAAGGGGAGGATGAGGTATGAGCCATCGTACAAGTTCCTAGCATTCAACTCAGGACCCAGGGCTTGTCTGGGGAAAGATGTGGCCTTCGCCCAGATGAAGACGGTGGTGGCTGCAATGGTGTACAACTTCCATGTGGAGGTGCTCCGAGGCCCTGTGGCTGCACCAAAGCTTTCCATCATCCTCCAGATGAAGAATGGCCTGATGGCGAGGATCGAGAGGAGGAGGGATCGCAAGTGATGAAGTTGCAGTGCTGCGTGTGGGATATACGTAATAAAAGGGACTTACATCTTTGATTGTAGCCTATATATATGTATTGATAATGATCGAAACGAAATAAATTATATATGCATCTAGTAGCCATGCTTATATCGGTATGATAGTGCACGGTTCTTCTACGCCTTTGCAAGACCTATATATGCTGTCAATTGTTGTGATTAAACGAGATGTTTTTTTTTAGTATTAGAAAAAAGATCAAATGGTTATAAAATATCGACAAAAGAGATGTTTTGTCTATTTTATAAATAATTCAAATAATAGTATGATTAGCCATGATTGACTTTAGTTATTAGGTGAATGCTATTTAAAAAGGGATTGCTATTTAAAAACTTCTTTTAGTGACTATCTCACTAGCCCAAAAAAACATTATACATCTTCAAAATATTTTTAGATGCAGTAAAAATCCATAACTATAAACCGTCATATTTTACCACATTTTTTAACATAAAAATAAAAAACGGATTAAATGTGTAAAGCAGGAAGTTGGCACTCAAGCTTCAGGTCAAACACACGAGGAATGGAAGACGCAATAATCCGAGGGAATTTGACATGTTATTGAAAGAGTAATCCAAAAGAAAATTTAAAGAAAAACTGGGATTCATCAGATCGAGTCAGACATCATTTCAGAAACAACATTTCCTAGTAAACTATCCTGCAACTCCAAGAGATACATACTCCCAGGGTTTAAGGAAAAATGGAGGCCACACCCACCCAAAGACCACAGATGAAGCTTCTACGCATTGCAAGCTAATTAAAGACACCCCACGAATTAGAAACCACACATTGCCACTCCAACAGAGAACATAAGACTATTTGGAAATTGCTGGATAGAGAACACATCGAAAAATAGGAAATAATGTCTCCCACATAATGGGAATCTAACTTGCGCCTGCGCTTTGGAGGTGGAGCATGCATACATCTAAGAACCCCTTTCTTGAACTCGCTGGGGGTAGCCATTGCCCCTTGGTCGACTATTGTAGTCCCTGTCGTAGCTGTCCTGGCGGCTACCCCGACCAAAGTTCCGGCTGGTAAAACGCCCCCTTGAGGCGTCAGATGGGTATCCACCTCTTCCCCTGCCCCTTTCTGAAGAAATAGGAAAGACAGAAACCAAGTTGCCTCACCAGATACCAAACTTTTACTTGACTGGATTATAAATAACGAGAAAAGTAAACTCCAAGAACACAGGTCTTTGAGCTCCCACTATATTCAGTTGCTAAAACATATCATGAGTTTTTAGTGAGAAAAATTACAAGAAAATTGTTGGACATTTAATTATGCTGTTTCATGCATATTTAAAAGTTTCATTTTTTTAATGTGCACTATAAAGATAACCAATTTTGACCAATAACCATTAACATATGCATAGTGACAAAGAGATTAGCAATCATATACTTTTCAGCATTTTGTTGGGGGTACCATATGTCATCAACAGAAAAAGATAAGAGGAAGTGTATCCTATACGTTTAAATGCATATATGCATTTTACAATCAAAGTTCAAAGTACCAATAAAATCGATATGACAAATTGGTAGTTACTCGTCATACAAGCACTAGTATCGGACCTCAGACCATACATATTACTGCAGTTAAGAATACTGTTCACTTTTGTTTTATCATTTTTTTCAGCGAGACTGGGTCGTATATGTCTGTATGCCTCTTGGTATCTTGGCACAATATCAACCCAAAAAATTATTGATGGGTATTCAGAACTGTGTCTAAGATTCCATTACTATGTAGAAACAAACAGTAAGAAACATTTGGGACCTCTCAAAGCAAAAGCATTGGTGGGGAGGGACACAAGGGACTAGGACAGAGACCATCAAGATCAATTATAAGAAAGGTCTGCAGAAAAAGAAAAGACAAGAAAGAAAAAAAAGACGTAGAGGGATGCAGAAAAAGGAAGTACTCTGTTGGAACGGATAAGAACTGTTGTCTTTTAACAGTTTTTACAGGATCTGGTTATTATGTAAAACTCAACATGGTCATGAAATCATAAAAGCCAAGCCTGGCTCATTAATCCATCGTTTTCAAAGATTCATGCATATTACATGCTTCAATTCCCTGAAAGTTTAAATATTCCATCCCACATTGCACTATCAATGTTAGTCACACAATACAACATATTACACCCCATTGACAAAATCAATATTGTCGTTTGGGGACATTGAACTAAGTCTGACTCCAACTTAAATTAAGTTCTAAACAAGAACTCTACAAAATGCTTCATGATCCTAAGTTATCCTCCAGCAATAAAAAGGTTCCAGTCACAGAATTAAATATACAAAAATCAGTGTTTATAAAAATTCATTAGTTAAAATGTCTCAGAAATCGATATTTGCATGAAGATTGAAAATTTTGAAGAAAAATACTTATTGAAAAATTAAAAACATTCAGATGACTTACTTCCTCGTGAAGCACCACTGTTAGGTCTTCTCCCCTCAACATGAATCAACCTCCCATTTAATTGTATTGGAGATGCCTGCGGATTAAATTTTGTTCCATTAAAAATACAAATCTGAGAGACACACTTCAAACATACAAAATCAGAGTGCACAAAATTGTCTTATGCATCACCTAACTGTTATAAATATAAAACAATGTTGCTGATCTTGAAAGAGGTCAAAAAAGATACGATGACATCAATCCAGATATTTGCAGAAGTACAATCACCAGGTCAACATTAAGAAAAATTGATCTAATTGATATACAGATTTAAAGACTTGAAATTTAAGAGAATCTTTTGCAAATTTAGCACTCAATGCAAATGAACCAGCATCAACGATCAAGTAGGCACAAAGTTCAAAAAAGCATTTAAAACACACATTCTGGCACAGGCCAAAAACAAGGACAAACAATAACAACACCAACAGTATTTAGATAAAGACAAATACTATCAAAATCTTATGCAGGATCATCTTTTGTGAATCTGAGTCTAGTTCAGATTCAATCTGCCAGAAAAATGACAAACCTTAAGTGCATTCTGTACACCAATGGCATCCTCATATTCAATGAAGGCATAAAAAACATCAGACTCCTGCAAAGTCACATGAACAAGACTAATGAACCAAAAATTCCAACCCATGTCAATAAAGTCAAGATAGTATGACGAGCTTCAATGGAATTTACCTTGCGGCTCCTGATAGAAACACCATCAGACCTAAGTCTACCAAAGTTCTTGAAGACTTGCTCAAGGTCTGAAGCAGAAATAGATGAAGGTAGATTTCCCACATAAACAGATCTTGCTTCACCTATGACCAAAGAAAATAGTGATCATTCTGACAAACTTAAAAAATGATCCAGATAAATCCTCTACCATAACAGAATAAAACCTAACAGAAACAGAAAAACAACAGAAGCTCTAGAACAGATAATGCCTATGTCAAAAAAAAAGGTTTGATTATTTGGATCTTGAAATTCAAATTTCCACTAAGCTGCAGAAAACAATTTTCAAGAATTAAGAAAATATCTTAGAATTTTGCATCCACACTCCATGTACTTGTTTGCGCAAATGCTACTGCAGAACTCTTGAAGTAATTACTAAGAGACACGATCATACTCTTTGAGCCATTGACCTTTCATTTTCAACATAGCAATATGCTTGGCTGTTCAAAGAAAATATTAAACAGAAAATACAGAAACAATGAGGGGAAAAACCTTCATCTTCAACTGGCGGAGCCTCCTCAACTACCTCTGAGCTGGACTTTTCAGGAACCATGGCAGGCTGTGGTTGTTGAGCGGTTGACTGCGAGGAATGAGCCCATTCTGAAGCCACATGAGTAGTCTTTGTTAAAGATGTCGGATGAGGAATGGATTGTCCAGATTGGCTTTTAGCACGAAGCTTGAGATACAAGCAATATTAGTTTGCTATAAGATTCCATACAAGAAGATAACGGAAATGAAGAATTCAACATACAATGGATGCATAAGTCTGCCTAGTTGGCTCTCCAACAGGTTCTTCTGGTGTAGCAGGAGGTGGTTCCCTCATAGTATCCAACCCACTTGGATATGAAGCAGTGTCTTCAGCAGGAGATTCGTCTATTCTTTCATCTGGTTGTGGAAGCTGCTGTGGTGCTTCAGGAATGCTATATTTCTCAACTATGTCATTTTCCTCCACATGTACTGGAGGCACCAAGTCCTGATCCTGAACTTGTTCTCCCAGCATGTAGTCAGAAACTGCCAAAGTCAATCAACAAGGTTGGACTTACAAGTAAAAAAATGCCTCCAAAGTGTCCAGACATCAAGGTCATCTTTTTCATGTCCAAGGTTTATTTTTCGTCTTCTACAAAATAAAAGGCATGCATGCAATAGGTAGGCTGGGGAGAAGGTTCTCATTCCTTGGTTCACGTTGTTAACAAATTAACAATAATAACCAGAGTAATCCTAGAAAAAACATAGAGAAATAAAAGAAAACAAGCAATAGCTCATACATTCTCCTAAATAAACAGTCATTAAATGGCTTATGCAGTAGCATCTCATGCCCAGTCAAGAGTATATTATATGTAGCAACTTCATATTGTCTTTCCTAAATCTAAGGATAAAATAATACAACGAATAAAAGTACAATAATCCGACCTCAGCTATTTTTCTTAGCCACCAAGTAAAGAGACCATGATGATAACCATCATATCAAATAACTGATGAAAGAAAAACCAACTCATTGTTTAACAGATTGAACTTATGAAGCATCAAAACACATAAGTCGTTGAAGATTCAACAAAACCTTAACATGTTAGGAAGTATTGTGAATAAACCACCAAAAACTTCATAAGGTTCCAGTGTAAAAAACTATAAGGTTGGTTCCAGGGTAAAACACCAAAAAAACCTATGGAGTGCAGTTGGTTCCAGGGTAGGAAACTAGTAATAAGGTTGAGTTGAAAATCACATCTTCTACACTCCATAGTTCACAAGATTGAAATCAAAATCAAGATCGACAAACAATGATATGACTGTAGTTCCACAGTTTTCATTGGACAGAATTCTGTTGTACATAATAACATGAGGGAATTTGTAAGCTCCATTTTCACATACTGTAGCACAGAACACTAGAGGAAATACTTGGTTCGCACAAAGAGGACCAATCATTTGAAAAATAGTAATG